ATTGATTATAAATTGCAAGTTACATGTTGTAAGTGTTGTATTATTAAACGAAAGGGTGAAGTTAGAATTTTCTCACATGCTTATTTACTAGAATATTGCAAATTCGAATTTGATGGTTTATTCTGTTTCCATGAGTTATGGGTTTGGATGTACGTATACCTGGACCCTTTCCCAGTCTTGAAGGCCGTGTTATATTACACCGTGCATCATTTTTCCGTTTGTCCGCGAGCTCGAATTGCCTCGGTAATTGCTCTGTCCGCAAAAGCGGAAGGCCTCTCGCGAGGCTAATGACAAGGATGCCACACCGTGCACGCTCTCTTAATTGACTTTATTATAATTACCACTCGTAAGGCCGGCCCTTTTACGACCCCTAGTTTCCACCGTTTTTACAATTCCGTCCGCGTCGTGCCATTTCTTTCTCTTTCTCATTCTTTCTCCTCTTTCACCGCTGTGGCAAAAGTCGGGGAAAAATAGAGGAACTTTCGTTTCCATGAATATTAACTAGCTTCCCTGCAACTATACATATATATTGGTTTCCTCTTTCTTTTTCCTGGAATGACATATCGATCACCTCTGGGTCTTCTGGGTATTTTTGTAATGATAGGGATGGAAATTGGGGAAGGAAGTTGGATTCAAAATCTACGAGTTTTATTATTAGATCGGTGATGGAATATTTCATGAAACAATTCTACTAAGCTATTCCTCAGTAATCCGTGATCACCGTCGCTGTATCAATTCTGCTGGTATCAATCCCGTTAACAATTAGCTGAAATAGCTGACACTACGTTAATCTAAAGTTTGCCAATTTCCTGATCCCTGTGCAAATCTTCGGTAACCGCGATAGCTTAATCCAAATTCGGAGCGCCCTTCCTCAGGCTACCTAATTCACCAGCTGCAGTCAGCATACTCGAGATCCGCGCGTCTACGTGTCGATTGTGTTCTAATTACAGATTCAGGTCGATCCACTGCCATTTGTTCCCGCACGTACCCAATTGCCCGCACAGATGATGACCACCGGAGACCGGACGACGATGATGACACGCCTGAAGACTAGAAGGATGCGATCTCTACGTTGTTGCGTTTATTGTCTTCAATTCTTGTACATAGCTGTATAGGGC